TGCATCTTTTAGTCCTGTGCAACAGCAATGCTGCCTCCAACCATCACTAACTGGCAATATTTCTTCGTGTTATTCAGGCACATCAGTCTCAGCTGCAGCATCCGAAAGCTTCATCATTCGTCTTCGTTCATGAGTGTTGTACTCCTTCTACGTTGATTAGTTTTTGCGATTTATAAAGTCGAATGTCAGATGAAGGGGTATATTACATTTATCACTACGTTTGTTACATATCGAAAACTCATTGCCTCAAAGGTCTTTGTGATAAATTGTAATCCCGTTCAAGGTTAAATAGATTTAAACAAGTCAACAAAATATGAATTTTTAAAACAATGTTTTAAATGACATTATCGGTTTAGCATGTGTGGGAGTATCCTAGAGGTTAAAACCTGATATATCTGGGAAATGTCAAAAATCTAAGGTAAGACAAGAAGTGGAAAAATAAAGCAGCCTGTAACAAATAAACATTTATATTGGGATTTTAGGTCAGCATATCATACCATATCTCAATCGATCCCTATAACAATCGGCAGTGGTGTCGTAGAGGCAGATATAAAAATATCGTTGGTAGGGAGTGCATATTACAGCTATGTAGGACATAAATATCAAATCGAATGAAATACGTATATGGAATCTATAGCTATGTCCGAGTCGATTTTCTTCAAATTTGACATATTTACATCTTGATTGACGGGACACATAAAAATTTTATCTTTTGGATTCGGACTTATATTGCCCATTTGGTGCACAATTAATTTGAAATCGGATAAAGATATATATGGGAGCTATATCCAAATAGGAACCGATCTAGGAACCGATGAGCTGTATGTGATATATTTCCCTGAATATCGTTGTTACGGATTGGATATTACGGCTGTGGGTAATAAATATAACAAATCGGATGAACAGTATATATGGGAGCTATAGCTATATCTGGACCGATTCTCACCAAATTTTACATACTTGCTTCTAGACTAGATTCAGTCGTAAGTGCCAAATTCCATCCCATTTGGACCAATATTACACGTTTGGTGCACAATAAAAGGTAAATCGGACGAAGATATATATATGGGAGCTATATCTAAATTTTTACCGATTATTTCCAATTTCAATAGGGTTCGTCCTTGGGCCAAATGACTTGTGCAAAATTTCATCTTAATTGGATAATAAAAGCAACCTGCATTTTGTTCACAAGAATACATGGACAGACGGACGGACTGACATGCATAAATCAACTCAGAAAGTGATTCTATGGAGATCCTCAAAAGTAACAATGGGTCTATCTCAAATGCACAAATACATAATACTCTTACCACTATGTGGTGTAGGGTATAAACATTTTGGCGTGCCTATCTTTTAATACCTTCCACCTTTGGTTAAAGCAAACATTTTTATATTAAAGTACTTGAATTCAAACGCGTTGCACTTTATACAAATAGCAGTAACACTATTTGGATAATGTTGTTCAAAAAAACCATAAAGTGGGTTTGGCCGTTGTATGGGGACCATTCCAAAACGCGAACCTCTATAGGCAATTTTATACTTCAAGGATTGTCATATATCAAATCTTCTCAAATACCAAATTTGAAACAATTTCGTGGGTAAATGTGACTAGGATTATCAAAATACCGAATATCGGTGGTTACCCTTATATGAGCGCTATAGGAAAACGTGGACCTAAATTGTTAATGCTCTGTGGAGCTAGAACCCATTAAGAACTACAAATAATAATTTTTATACAAATCCGTAAAAAATGTGGTAAAATCATGAAAATTCCTAATATCGGGAGGTAACGTTATATAGTGGCCTATACATACAATATTTCGCCACCGTAAAAAAAATTTGGTAAAAATCATCAAAATACCGACCAACGGAGATACCGTTATATGGGGGCAATGCTTAAACGTGGACCGATATAACTCAATTTCATTACCGACCATCCTAGACACAATGGAAATTGTTGTTCCAAATGTTGAAGTTCTACGTCAAATAATATAAGGTGATAATATATATAATGCTTAATTGTTAAATTTAAATTAAAAAACGCGTGTATTTTCTATTTATTGCCTCCCTAATTTACGCGAAATGTCAATTAACTTCCTCTTTGACAACTGTGGTCTTTTCAGAAACGTATAATCCGTCCAAGAATTTGGGAATATCCTTGTTCTTGACGGTAGTGAATTGTTGAATGAAAATTGCAGATCCCGAATCCGCCTCAATATCTTTGTCTTCCTCAATAAGTGTGTCCATTTGGTAAGTCGAGTTGAAGACAGTTACGCCTGGAGTCAAAACATGGCGGATATATTTGTATACCCTCCACCTTGGGAAGGAGGGTATATTAACTTTGTCATTCCGTTTGTAACATCCTTAAATATTCGTCGTAGACCCCATTAAGTATATATATTCATAATCAGCATAAAATTCTAAGTCGATTTAACGATGTCCGTCTGTCTGTTGAAATCACGATACAGCCCACATTATTTGACGTAGAGCGCCAAAATTTAGCAGAGCAATTGGTATTGTGTCTAGGATGGTTGGTATTGAGAATAAGATCTTTCGGTCCACGTTCTGGTATAGTCCCCATTTAACGGTATCTCCCGATATTGGGTATTTTGATGATTTATGCCACATTTTTTCACGGATTTGTCTAAAATTGGTATTTGTAGGTTATAACGAGTCCCTGTGCGTTTGGCAAAAAATTGCATGTATAGGTCCGCGTTTTGGTATATCCCCATATAAAGGTACCTCCCGATATTCGGTATTTTGATTATATTTGCCACATTTTTTCGCGGATTTGTCTTAAATTTGTTATTTGTTAGTCATAATGGGTTCCAGCTCCGGTGGCAAAACATTGCATGTATGGGTCCACGATTTGGTATAGCCCCCATATAACGGTACCTCCCGATTTTCGGTATTTTGATGGTTTTTACCACATTTTTTCACTGATTTGTCTTGAAAATGGTATTTGTGGGTCATAATGGGTCCTACTTTGTGTGGCGAAATATTGTATGTATAGGTCCACGTTTTGGTATAGTCCCCATATAACAGTACCTCTCAATATTCGGTATTTTGATGATTTTTGACACATTTCTTCACGGATATGTCTAAAAATTGGTAGTTGTAGATCATAATGGGTACCAGTTCGTGTGGCGAGCCATTGTAATTATAGGTCCACGTTTTGGTATAGCCCCATATAACGGTACCTCCCGATAATCGGTAATTTGATGATTTTTGCCACATTTTTTCACGGATTTGTCTGAAAATTGGTATTTGTAGGACATAATGGGTTCTAGCTCCTTTGGCGAAACATTGCATGTGTAGGTCCACGATTTGATATAGCCCCCATATAACGGTACCTCCCGATATTCGGCATTTTAATGGTTTTTGCCACATTTCTTCTAATGTTTCCTTTACCCTAAGGTGGAGGGTATTAAAAGTTTGGCCCGGCCGAACTTAATGTGTTTTACTTATTCTTTCAATAAATTACGAATTTCAATGATTCCTTGACTTCGGATGTAACACACCTTGTATCGGAAGCCAGCAGTCACACCTTTAATCATGTTTTCAATATGACTGCAAACAGTCAAATATTAGTGCTATATTTCTGTGCAAGATCAAGCCTTATTTGACGTATTTAAGTACTGTATAAACCCAATATACATTCTTGTGGATCAATATAAAATTCAAATTCCCACCTATCGCATACAGCATAGAAACACATCTGTTAAATTTTATGTATATGTCTTCATCCGGTTTCACGTTTATTGTGCCTAAAAATTTTACTTGCAACATAAGAACACCTCCTTCAAGTTTAGTTGAAATCGATTAAGATACAGTTTTCGTATATTAGTTCCAAACGATCTAAAGCCGTATTACTCAATGATATGACTGTTTTTCATAGTTGGTATGATTTACTTTGCTTAGTCAATTTTCTGTAACAGACTGTAGTATCCGTTACGAACTACAAAAACGAAATTTGAAACAATTCCGATTAATAATGTCGCAAAAATCATCAAAATACCGAATTTAGGGAGGTACCAAAACGTGTTTCGTATATTGCTCATTTTCAATACCAAAAGTCCTGCAGACCAAACAAATATGAGCAAAATTTTATGAACCTACTTCAATTCATTCGGAAGCTAAAGTGATTTCTACAGACAAACAGACAGACGGACGGACATCGTTAAATCAATATAACCATTATTATTCAACCTTGGGGTAAAGAAAATGGTAGTTTGATTACATTACCTTGTAACGGGCATATTTTATAAATAATGCTGCTATGGAAAATTATGTTATCTTCAAGGGCCAATTCATTGGCTAAATCTATTTTAATACCTTAAATTAAAAAGCTATTCTATTTTGACTTATTATTTGAGAATTTCGGACCTACCATATTGAATAAGTTTCTTTTGCGTTAGAGGGTATAAAAAGTTCGACCCATTTCCTTCACTGAATTCAAGGAACAGTTTGCCAGCTTGTACAGAAATAAAAATTCCGCAACTCCAACACTTATACACACATGCAAATACTTACAGCTATGAATAAATTCTCACTCCAGATAAGAATCATGATATAGTGGCGTTGAATTGTGCAGCTATAAAATGCGTTTACTGTTGTTGTTGCTGTCCTCTTCGTCTTTTTTGCATTATTCCTGTCTGCAAGTTGGAAGTTAATAAGCGCTTTCTGTTCCTGATATGCATTCGCTAGGGATATTTACGACACAACTCACGAAGTTCATACTCAAACCTACTGCATTGGTGGTTAGCGAAGGTGTTGCAGTTAGCTGGCCAGTAATCATCATTCTTCTTCTTCTTCAGATTTATGTTCCACTGTTCTTTTGTGAGCGATAAGCCAGGGTTAATATGGCGTGTCAGGCTTATTAGTGTAAAGTTTTGTGGTATATACTGGGAAAATTTTCTGCTAATTATGATTTTTTTCCTTACATAAAATATTTCCTATCAAAATTCCATTTTTTTTTCAATTTTGACAACAAAAACTCTGCAAAGCGTTTTATTGACATTCCTTTCAGAATATAAAAATTGAAAACATGAATTTTTGAAAATGTTATTGAATATTCAATATCCCAAAAACTATGATCCGCACCAGCATCGTTATGTTAAATATCCCATCTCGTAAGTATTTCGCACATTTCAATTTAAGTGGGTAGTGATATGTCATTATTGTCCTAGAAATCTTGAGGCATTTGTCAGTATCTTGAAATGTTCCATTGGTACCGGTTGCTTAGAAATGCCAAGGGCTTTTTGCCACGCCGGTTGGTTGAATGGAATATTGGGAACTTTTGCGATTGGCGGTATTATGGTGTATGCAGTACATTTGTTGGTCAGATTGAATTAAGATTTCAATCAATTGTTGTTTTTATGATTTTCGTTGCATTTTTCAGATTTATGGCATGTACGAGATTTGTCGAAGACACAAAAATGCCTCATTGACATTTCCTGAAGCAATGAAAATTGCTTTATTGGAGGGGCCACCATGTCTGAATAAATTATCTGTTATGGCTGAGTAAGTGATGAAACAAATTGAGAATTTCTGAATTTGTATACCTTCCACCCATGGTAGAAGAATATAGGTAGATGCAACAACGCTTGGGAACATTAATATGTCAAAATTTTTAAAGTGTTTTGTCAAAAATAAGTGGAAATATATATGTTTTCTTGTACAGCGCAAATCGGAGGTTGTAATGATATGTATTTTTCAACAATTTTTAAAAAATTTCAATAACTTTTCATTCAAGATTTTCAATTTCAAAATCGGTTTGACAGTCCATTGTTCCAGCAGCTGTGTCGATGCGACTACCTGTATTCTTCTACCATGCTTCCACCATAAAAAATGTAAACAATATCCAAATGTGGCCAAAGATTCAAACTTTTTAAAATCTCCTGAATCGAGGATATATGAAAGCCTTAACTAATATAGAATAATTTTTAAATGGTATTTTACCAGTAAAATCAAATTTCAGAGAATTCGATTGGAAAAAGAGCACAGAGTACACCCTTTGGGAACTTTAATTGCTAACTACACCTGTATTGAGTAGGGGCAAAGGCATTGAAGTGTAAAGATAGGACAAGATCGAGTCATATTATTGTCACCAGACAAGAAAATAGTTATCAATGTTAAGTGATTTAAACCGCTAAAGAAATATGCAATTAATTGAGAAGGCCTAAGGAAAAGAAATTTGAAACCAACATTTTGGATTATTCCAACTTTTATTTGTCATTACACCCTACGCCTCATAGGGGTAAGGGTATTATGTCTTTGTGCAATTGTTTGTAACATGGAGAAGGAAGCGAGATAGACCCATAGTTATTTTTGAGGATCTTCATAGAATCACTTTCTGAGTCGATTTATGCATGTCAGCCTGTCTGTATTCTTGTGAACAAAATTCAGGTCGCATTTATTATCCGATTGAGATGAAATTTTGCAAACAATCAGGGCTGTCACAGAAACCATGTCGGTTTTGCTTATTGTCGTTTTTGTAAACCAATGTTGGTTTCATTTGGTGTCATGAAACCAAGTTGATTTTGTCAATTTCGAATGTAAATAATGTTCGAAACAGCTATTGTTGCTTACATGTGTTGTTTGTTTATTTGTCATTGAAATATCAGTAAAAGTAAAGTAAATAAAAAAAGAAATAAGTCGCTATATATTTTAAAATTCCTTAAAAAATCCACGTTTATGGTACTTTAAATATCCTTTAAAAAACCACGTTTATGGTCCTTTAAATATCCTTTAAAAATTCTTTGAAAAATCCATGTTTATGGTCCTTTAAATATCCTTTAAAAATTCCTTAAAAAATCCACATTTATGGTCCTTTAAATATCCTTTAAAAAATCCACGTTTATAGTCCTTTAAATATCCTTTAAAAATTCTTTGAAAAATCCATGTTTATGGTCCTTTAAATATCCTTTAAAAATTCCTTAAAAAATCCACATTTATGGTCCTTTAAATATCCTTTAAAAAATCCGCGTTTATAGACCTTTAAATATCCTTTAAAAATTCTTTGAAAAATCCACGTTTATGGTCCTTTAAATATCCTTTAAAAATTCCTTAAAAAATTCACATTTATGGTCCTTTAAATATCCTTTAAAAAATCCACGTTTATAGTCCTTTAAATATCCTTTAAAAATTCTTTGAAAAATCCACGTTTATAGTCCTTTAAATATCCTTTAAAAATTCTTTGAAAAATCCACGTTTATAGTCCTTTAAATATCCTTTAAAAATTCTTTGAAAAATCCACGTTTATAGTCCTTTAAATATCCTTTAAAAATTCTTTGAAAAATCCACGTTTATGGTCCTTTAAATATCCTTTAAAAATCCACGTTTATAGTCCTTTAAATATCCTTTAAAAATTCTTTGAAAAATCCACGTTTGTGGTCCTTTAAATATCCTCTAAAAATTCACATTTATGGTCCTTTAAATATCCTTTAAAAAATCCACGTTTATAGTCCTTTAAATATCCTTTAAAAATTCTTTAAAAAATCATTAAAAAAATCCACGTTTATAGTACTCTAAAAAATCCACGTTTGTAGTCCCTTAAAAAAGCTTTAAAAAATTCACGTTTGTAGTCCTTTAAAAAATCTTTAAAAAATCCACGTTTGTAGTCCTTTAAAAAATCTTTAAAAAATCCACGTTTATGGTCCTTTAAATATCCTTTAAAAATTCTTTAAAAAAATCCACGTTTATAGTCCTTTAAAAATTGTTTAAAAAATCCACATTTTTAGTCCTTCGAATATCCTTTAAAAATTGTTTAAAAATCCAAAGGAAATGAAAAGTGACAGCTCTAAGCATTGGTTTATTTCCAATAACAAAATCAATAACATTGGCTTCTATGACAACCAAAACCGATAAAATTCTAATTCGAAAATAAAACCGATAAAATTGATTTTCATGACACCAAAGCATTTTTTCTTGTCGTTTTTAAAATCAATAGTGACAAAATTGGTTTCTATGACAGCCCTGAATATTTGTTTGGCACAAGGACCCTATTGAAATTGATGATAATCGGATCAGATTTCGATATAGCTCCCATATATCTTCAACCGATTTCATGTTAATTGTACACCAAATGGCCAATAAAAAGCCCAAATGATCTGTATATTCTGTCTAGGAGCAAGTAAATCAAGTTTGGAGAAAATCGGTTCATATGTAACAATAGCTTCCATATATATTTTTCTTCCGATTTGGGGTTTTAAGTACCTCACATGCGTAATGTGCATTCCACAACAATGATCTTTGGTACCAGATATCAGATACAGCTCTTAAATAATTATATCAATTTTTGTCAAGATCGGTTCAGACTAAGATATAGCTCCCAAATATATCCTCAACCGATTTCGGGTTAATAGTGCACCAAATGGCCAATATCAGTCCAAATGACCTGAATTTTGGCACATCCGCCCGTATTCAGCCTAGAAGCAAGTACAGTTCCATCCGTTTCTTCAAATTGCAATTGTACCAAATTTAGTACCGTTTAGTACTTTTCGTATTCTTAGCTCTAACCGAACATACTTAGCTCTAACCGTTCACATAATACGAAATCGTACCAAATGTATTACATTTTTGTACTTTTCGTACACTTATAATACGAATTTCTAGAATCCTTTTGGTACATCAATCACTCACTCCATCAGTGAACCTCATTCCAAATTTAAGAGCTCTAGCTCTACTGCTTCCTAAAATACAAAGGGTACCATATTTAGTACCTTTTTATACTTTTTGCACCGTTCTATTACAAATTTTTCAAAAACCCATCCTTATCTGACTCCTTCGGACCAGGAGTGACCCTCACCCAAAATTTCAAGATTTTAGCTTCAGCCGTTTTGTCTGGGCGATGATGAATCAATCAGTCAGTCAGTCAGTCAGTCAATTACTTTACTTTTTCATTAATATAGATGGAGACCGACTGAGAATCAACGCCCAGACGATCGGCTGAAGATGGAGTCTTGCAATTTTGCACGAGAGTCAGTCTTGGTGCGTAGGCAAGAAAAATCGTTTTAAAAGGCTACGAAAAGTACAAAAATGTACTAAAAACCGAATACTTTGTATTGGACAAACGGAATTAGCTAGAAATTTAAAATGAATCACCGATGAAATGCAGGACTAGTGTTCCAAAGGGTTTTTGAAAATTCGCACTTTAAGGCTACGAACAATTCAAATATGGTACCATTTGGTACGGATAAAACTAAAAACTTGAAATTTTGTGTGAGAATCAAGCTGTTCGAATATATCTCTGCTAAATTTTATCAAGATCGGTTCATATTTGAATCCCATATATCTTCAACCCATTTCGGGTTAACTGTGCACCAAATGGCCAATATCAGTTCAAATTACTTGAATTTTGGTACATCCGACCGAATTCACTCAAGAGGCAAGTGCATCGAATTTGGTGAAAATCGATTTGGTCTGTAAATCTCTCACATTTGTAATAGGCATTCGACAACAATGATATTTGTTATCAGATATCTTATGGAGATCGGAAATATATTTTCCAAATTTTATCGAGATCGGCTATAATTTGGATATAGCTCCCATATATATCCTTTATCCGATTTCAGGTTTATTGTGCAAATAATGGAAAATATCAGCGCAAATGGAGTGAATTTCGGGACGTACGTTTCCATTTGGTGGAACTTAGCTCCGATATATATTCTTTTAATATAAAACTAAAATGTTATTTGGTATAAAAGATAAAAAAACTCCGTCAAATTTAGTGAAAATCGATTCAGAATTGATTATGCCTCCCATATATTAGTTCCCTCTGAAACAAAATTATAACTCCTCTACATCCAAATGTTGATAGGTGGTATGATCTACTTCAAATAAATTCTTGTGTTACGGGAGCTCTACTAAATATGTTCGTGGTGTAGGGTATTATATAGTCGGCCCGCCAGACTTTTAACTATTCCTTACTGGTTAAATATTTCAATGTAGTAACATTTGACATGATACATGACATAAAATGCAGAGCAATTTGTTCTTACGGTTACAACCATGGTACAATAGATGAAAAGTAGGCAACAAATAATACCTTAACTCTCCTTTCAGCGTCTTTGTGGACGGTTTTCTTTGTCTACATCATTTCGGCGTCTGCTGCATATATATCCTCTTCGTTGCTGATAATATCAAACAGATTGTGGACCATTACTTTTATGAATTCGATTTTCATATACATGTGCTAGCGCTGGCAGGACCAATGATAATTATATTTATGATCAGAGATCTAAAGCATTTAATACCTCTCAATGTGACAGCGAATATTCTCCTATTACTGGCATTCGTCTTTATACTGGCGTATATTGTAAACGACTTACCTCCGCTGCGAGAACGCACAATGATTAATAAAATCCATAATTATCCTTTATTTTTTGGATCAGTCTTATTTGCCATGGAGTCAATTGGGGTGGTAGGTGAAATAAATAAAATCCTGCATGTTTCCTATGTCGGTCATATTATGTTCGTGTGTTTCAGATTATTGCCATTGAACATGAAATGGCAAACCCCCGAGATTTTTTAGGATTTACTGGTGTTTTGACATTGGGATCAGCGACTGCATTGGTATTTTATGCAGCCTTTGGTTTCATTGGTTATTGGCGTTTCGATTGTCAGGTTCGTGGCAGTGTTACATTGAATATGGATCCGCATTTAATGTTGGTATTTGTGACGCATCTATATGATTTGTTCTTTATTATAGTTTTGTTTTCTAGAACCTCACAGCTTGTGAAAATTATGCTAGCGATTGCCATCTTCTTTTCATATACCCTGCAGGGATATGTCGTCATTGATGTACTATGGCATCATTATGTCTCGAAAATGTTTAATGAGGACGATCAGCGCATAATGGAGTATAATTTTCGGTGCTTACTGGCGTTAGCTACAGGTAAGAAATATTATGAATGAGTTTAATTACTTCTAATCTGTAAAAGGAACTACCTACAAAAGAGCATCCTAACCCCTTCTTTTTAAACAAACATTTCATAGGATGTAAGCACTTTGCAGTTACTCTATTTTAAGTAAGTTTGTCATTCGGGATGACTCCCCGAAATGTCCATTTGAGAACATACAAAGTATATACAGGGTGAGATAAAAAACTGCAACAAAGTCAAATGCAATAATTTTAACATTTATTTTTTATTTTTTGAATGAAAGCAAAAAATGTCGCAAATAGCATCAAATTTTAGAATAATTTTAGATTTGTTGGAATTGGTCAACTTTGGCACGAATTATGGCCTTCAAACTTGACAGTGACAGCTCAATATATTGTTTGCAAGCTTTCAAAAGCATTTTGGTGGAAATTTTCTACAAAAATTTTATTCGTGATGGAGTTCAAGCGTGATAGTGTGATTTCGATATATTTGGCTGGAAAAATAAAAGTGGCTATCTTTAGAGCACTCCAGCATTTAAATGTGAATAAATATTTTGTGTCTCGTACCATCGCTCATTACCGTGATACTGGTAGCGTTGCCCGACGTCAAGGAAGTGGATGGAAAAAATAGCTACATCAGCTGAAATAGCTACATCAGCGACTTGATCGGAACCCGCGTCGCAGTGGCCGAAAAATGGCTCTTGAGCTGAACATATCGCAATATTCCATTCGGCAAATATTGAAAAATGAGCTCGGGCTAAAACCATTGAAATTCCAAAATGTGCAAGAACTTGCACCTCAAGAGAAAGAAAATAAACTAAAAGAGCTACAGAGTTGCTTGGCCGAAAGTGGTGTACTGCCGAATTGGGTTTTCTACGATGAGAAAACATTCGTTGTCCAGCAGTTTGTAAACAAACAAAATGATCGTGTTCACTTGGCAAAGAGGTCAGCTGAAAATGTGCACCTTCGGTTGGCCACCAGAACTCAAGCGCTGGCCATGACGATGGTCGCTCTCAAATATTATAGCGAAAATATTCTGGAGGGTATATTAAAGCCTTGGGCACGCACATATTTTGGTCCCAGTCCTTGGACATTCCAACAGGACTCAGCTTGACTCACCATCGCACTCAGCACGCACCACCCAAGAATTGTTAGAAAAAAGTTGTTCCTCGCTTTATTTCCAACTTCGCTTCCACTAAAATCTCCGGGTACCAATCCGTTGGACTATTGTGTCTGGAGTATTTTGGAAAGCAAGGTTGGCAATAAAAAATACCAAAGTGTTGATCACCTCAAGCAAGCGCTTCGCCGGGAATGGGCCAAAATACCGAAGAGCAACATTCGGGCAGCGTGAGAAGGTTTCATTGGCCGTTTGAAGACCATAATTCGTGCCAAAGAGCAATTCGAACAAATCTAAACTAATGCTAAAGTTTGATGCTATTTCCGACATTTTTTATATTCATTCAATAAAATTAAAAAAAAAAATAAAAAAAGTTGGTATAGGGCGATGAGATTTGGCTGAAATTTCGAAATTTGATATTGACGTGTACATTGGATGAGTAAATAAAGGATGTACGACTTTGGCAACATGTCGTCAGTCGGTGATTAATTCAGATAGATGAGTATTTGTTAAGAAGAATTTACATACATTAATGAAATTCAGTAATGATTAGTTTTCGATATCGCAGTGCCACTTGCAGATAAGTAATTAGTCTCTTTCAATTAGTCGATATCCAGGAGATTTCTTGGGCACTGTAATTCCCATTAATATAATATAATCCTGGTGTTAGGTTCAAGTTTTTATAAATACGGCAATTGCTTTGATGAGCCTTCTGCAGATCTTTGGCTTTATTATTTGCAATAACTCGCTCAATTAAAGTCGACTCCATTATATTCCAGGACCCTTGCGCGATGTATGCTTCTATTGACTGCATTTGTATTGAGCTGAGCAGATCATTCAATGATTTAACCCAGAAAAGTTGTTTCCGGACTTCTGAAATGTAGTATTGAGGTCACTGTTGGTTTTCTTCGGTTGACGTTAAATAACTGTGGACAGAAAAATTGGGTCCATTATGCTATGGTTTTACAAATATCCTCCTCTATTAACTTCAAAATGAAAAAAAATTAAGACTTTTTAGCGTAAATGGTAAACATTTCCCTATTATTTTTCCGAAAATGAACAGCTCGAGAAATTTTATAGATCCTTAAAACTCTGAATATATAGTACGATATATTAAGTTTTAATTAAAGTCTTCTGTCATACTTAACACATTGTGCTTGATAAGTACCAAAAAGGACTAACAGAACTGTTCCAATGAATCTATAATTTTGAGGTGAACTTCTCCCCCACGAAGTAGCGGTCTTTTGCTAGTAGCTAAGAAAAACTTTAATCTAATGTATAATGGATCCATAAAATATAAAATGGGTCCATATAACACACAACATTGTTGGGTGTTTGATTCATAGTTTTAAACAGAATTGGCTGTAAATTGGCAGTTTAATCGAATCCTGTGTCGTAGTGGCCGAAAAATGGCTTGTGAGCGGAACATATCTCAATATTCCATTTGGCAAATATTGAAAAATGAGCTCGAGCTAAAGAGATTGAAATTCCAAAAAGTGCAAGAACTTAAACTGCAAGAGGAAGAAAATAGACTCAAAAGAGCTATAGAGTTGCTTCGCTTGGCCGAAAGTGGTGTATTGCCGAATTGGGTTTTCTACGATGAGAAAACATTCGTTGTCCAGCAGTTTGTAAAGAAACAAAATGATCGTGTTTACTTGCCAAAGAGGTCACCTTCGGTTGGCCACCAGAACTCAAGCGCTGGCAATGGTTATGGTGTGGGCCGTCATAACAGCCAATGGTCGCTCTCGAATATTATAGCGAAAATATTCAGGAGGGTATATGAAAGCCTTGTGCACGCAAACATTGTGGCCGCACACCTTGAACATTCCAACAGGACACAGCACCATCGCACTCAGCACGCGCCACCCAAGAATGGTTACAAAATGAGGTTCCTCGCTTCATTTCCAGCGCGCAATGACTGAAAAGCTGAAAATGTGCACCTTGGCCGAATTTAGGTTTCTCCGATGAGGAAACATTCGTTGTCCGACATTTTGTAAACAAACAAAATGATCGTGTTTACTGCCAAAGAGGTCAGCTGAAAATGTGCACCTTCGGTTGGCCACCAGAACTCAAGCGCCGGCCATGGTGATTTTGTGGGCCGCCACAAAATGAGGTTCCCCGCTTCATTTCCAGCGCATAATGGCCACCAAAATCTCCGGATACCAATCCGTTGGACTATTGTGTCTGGAGAAATTTGGAAAGCAAGGTTGGCACTAAAAATACCAAACTGTCGGTCCAAAATACCGCAGAACAACGTTCGGGCAGCGTGTGACGGTTTCATTGGCTGTTTGAAGGTCATAATTCGTGCCAAAGTGACCCAATCGAACAAATCTAATCTTATTCTAAAAATGTTTTGCTATTTCCGACATTTTTTGCTTTCATGCAATAAAATTTGAAAACAATGTTTTTTATCTCACCCTGTATATATAGAATGTATTGGAAATATCGTATCGTAATATCGTATATTTCTCAGGCTTCTATTTAAATAAAATATCCATATTTCTGTTCATTTCTTTTATATTTTAAATATAAATTAGAAATACTTTAAAAAAGTATTCATTTCTCAAATAATGCACATTTAGACCGACGTTTACTTAGTTGACTTTCATTCATTCATTTTCAGTATTTATTGCTGCCATTTCACCAGATATCTCCGTATTCCTACCTCTCGTCGGTTCATTTTGCCTGACAATATTGGCATTTGTGTTGCCAGCGTTAATGGATTTGTGTGTCAACTATGAGCATGGCTATGGAACGTACAATTGGATATTTATTCGTGATTTATTTCTAATGATATTTGGCCTATGTGGCTGTATTACGGGAACATGGGTGGCTTCCAATAATATTCGAACTGCATTTGGCCAGACAAATGAGCCTATCCAAAGTCTGTTGTATTATTCGCAACTATTGTAATCTGTTCAAATATATTTGCCTCGCCTGTATGCATGGATGTAATTTTATCTGTGTCTAAAATTTCTTGTTGTGTATGTATTTCTTGAGTGGATTTGTTCACATTTCCAAAGAGAATAGGTTTTTGGATGTAAAATATAGATGGCTCAATTAAACTAACTAGATTCAACTATTACATGTGATAGCATCGACCAGGGCCAACATCGATAAGAGTTTCTAAAGAATTGAACATGAAACGAACATACTCAACAAGTTAAAAAGTATCAGTCGGTATTGCCGACAGATATATACCCTCAGCCTATGTTCGATTAAATAATTGAAATATATTTGACTAGTGTTACAATTATTCAAACGATTGACCCTCTATGGAGCCGGTTTCGAAGGAATGGGCCAATATTGTCCATTTCGTATCAGACTCAAAAATATGATATAAATATTCCGTTCCTGGTATGGATTATATCGACTCACCCCTTACTTTATATGAGATATGTAATAATTTTTAGAAAATGTTAAAAACCATACCATATAGTGTCTACCGAAATATTCCATTTTTATACTTCACCTGATATTGAACGAAATATGGGGCAAACTTACAAGAAAAGTTATTTATGTCAAATTTTATGCGAAATCATAAATTCCGATAAATTTCATATTCATATCAGGCTTCTTATTGAGAGAAATATTTGAGCATAGCAAACAGTAAAGAATTGCTAAATTGTTTCGAAAGTTATGACAGATAAAATTATTGAAAATTGTGACCCTTCGTATAAACTTCACAACAGATATTGTGTTTGCAAAAATATTTGTGTGTGTGAAATTTGAAAAGAGTTGGATGGTTATTTAGCTTTATTTGTGCGTTTTGTTTTTCAAAATCTTGAACCCTATGTATAGGGGAGGTACCAGAAGAAATGGTTCGATCTATACCACCTTTATAACAGATCTTGTGTTGATAGAAATACTGAAATGTGCCAAGTCTAAATGGAATCGGATCATAATTTGGCGTTTTATGAGCTTCATGGGTATTCAAAATTTCGACACTTTGTGGGGGAGGTACCAGAAGGAGTGGACCGATACATTCCATGTTAACACCAGATCTTGGGTTTATAAAAATATTGGAATGTGTGAAATTGGAAGACGTTCGGACTCTTACATCACATTTTATAAAAGTTGTAATTATTCAAAATTTTGACCCTTTGTGGGGGAGGTCCCTGATGGAGTGGACCGATATTGTCCATTTTCGTACCTGACCTAGCACTGACGCAAATATTAGGATTTACAAAGTTAGAGCAAAACCGGGTAATCGTTTCTCTTTCTGTGTAAAAAAATATATTTTATATATTTTTTTTTTGAAAATTTCGACCTTTTTTGGGGGGAGGTACCAAAAGGAGTGGACCGACGTATTCCCTCTTAACACCAGACCTTGGGTTAATAAAAATATTGAGATATGTGAAATTTGAAAACTATCGGACTCTTACATCACATTTTATAAAAGTTGTAATTATTCAAAATTTTGACCCTTTGTGGGGGAGGTCCCTGATGGAGTGGACCGATATTGTCCATTTTCGCAACTTACCTAGCACTGATGAAAATACTAGCATTTGCAAAGTTGAAGCAAAATCGGATTATCGTTTCTCTTTGTGTGCAAAAAATATTTTTTGAAATTTCGACCTTTTGTGGGAGAGGTACCGGAAGGAGTGGACCGATACATTCCATTTGCGCACCAAACCTTGCGCTAATAAAATTATTGCGATGTGTGAAATTTGAAGACTATCGGGCTCTTACATCACATTTTATAAGGGTTGTAATTATTCAAAATTTTGACCCTTTGTGGGGGAGGTCTCTGATGGAGTGGACCGATATTGTCCAATTTCGCACCTGAACTAGAACTGATGAAAATATTAGGATTCGCAAAGTTCGAGTAAAATCGGATTATCCTTTCTCTTTCTGTGCAATAAATTATTTTCTTTGAAAATTTGGACATTTTGTGTGGGAGGTACCAGAAGGAGTGGGCTGATATTGCCCATCTCCGAACTCGATCTAAGTTTGACAAAAATATTGCGATGTACCAAGTTTGGACCAAATCGGATACTCCCTTCGAGAGTTATCGTGCGCACCAGCCAGCCAGACAGACAGACAGACAGACAGACAGACAGACGGACGGACGGACGGGCATCGCTAGATCGACTCCAAATGTTCTGAAACGGATTTGGTCCAAAGAGACCTAGGGTCTAAAACTGTTATTTCGACTAGGCACGTTTTGGCCGTATCAAATGATATATACCCTCTGTAGCCATATGGCTGAGGGTATAAAAATATGTAACATCATTCGCAATGGTAAAACGGATTCTGCTGCTACTACGAATGAAATTGCCTTTGGTTGAATGCAGATGTAAAATAGTGATGTAAAATAGAGCATCCTGTTCGTGCCGATGAAATACCATAGAATCATTGAGATGCCGTTGTTAATTTCATTTGTTTATTTCATTGCAATAAAGTCAGGTCGGCCTATAAGATACAGAGACGAAAGATGAACGATTAGATAAATATATCTGGGGCCGTACGAGTTAAGTTTTAAGATTAGCCAATATACCAAACATTATTAATTGAATGAAAATACAATTATTTGTTTTATGTAAAAGATTGGGAGAAGTTGCTGTACTTAGCATTGAGAAGTCGGGCAAATACAGGGTGTGATAAAAAACTGCAACAAAGTCAAACGTCATAACTGTTACATTTTTTTTTCATTTTATCGAATGAAAGCAAAAAATGTCGGAAATAGCATCCAATTTTAGAATACGTTTAAATTTGTTCGAATTGGCCACCTTTGGCACGAACTATGGCCTTCAAACGGCCAACGAAACAATCACACGCTTCCCGATTGTTTGCTCTGCGGTATTTTGGCCCATTCCCGGCGAAGCGCTTGCTTGAGGTGATCGACACTGGTATTTTTATACCCTCCACCATACTATGGAGGGTATATTTATTTTATCATTCCGTTTGTAACTCCTCGAAATACTCATGTCAGACCCAACAAAGTATATATATTCTTGATCAGCGTAAAATTCTAAGACGTCTGTCTGTCTGTCTGTTGTTAGCACGCTATCTTTCTAACAAATTGAGATAAAAGGCTAGAACTTTGCACACATGTATATTTTGCCAGCAGGCAGGTTAAGTTCGTAAATGGGCAATGTAGGTCCAAGTTATCATATAGCCCCCATATAACGGTACCCCCCGATATTCGGTATTTTGATGATTTTAGCGACATTATTTACCGGAATTGTTTCAAATTTGGCATTTGAAGTTCGTAATGGACACTACATCCTAAGTCAAAAAAAGAGCCATGTAGGTCCACGTCTTTATATAGCCCCCATATAACGGTACCCCCCGATATTCGGTATTTTGATGATTTTAGCGACATTATTTAACGGAATCGTCCCAAATTTGGTATCTGAAGTTCGTAATAGATACTCCAGCATAAAACAGAATATGGGCAATGTAGATCCAAGTTATCATATAGCCCCCATATAACGGTACCCCCCGATATTCGATATTTTGATGATTTTAGCGACATTATTTACCGGGATTGTTTTAAATTTCGCATGTGAAGTTCGAAATGGATACTTCAGCCCATGCCAGAAAATTGTCCGTGCATGTACACGTCTTCGTATAGCCCCCATATAACGGTACCCCCTATATTCGGTGTTTTGTTGATTTTTCTTCAAGTTTCAACTTATGACAAATGTTGCCTATGCAGGTCCACGTCGTCGTATAGGCATTCAGAATTTTTAACGGATTTTATTTTTATACCCTACACCACATAGTGGTAAGGGTATTATGTCCTTGTGCATTTGTTTGTAACAGGCAAAAGAAACGAGATAGACCCATAGTTACTTTTGAGGATCTCCATAGAATCACTTTCTGAGTTTTTATACCCTACACCACATAGTGGTAAGGGTATTATGTCTTTGTGCATTTGTTTGTAACATGGAGAAGGAAACGAGATAGACCCATAGTTACTTTTGAGAACCTTCATAGAATCACTTTCTGAGTCGATTTATGCATGTCAGTCCGTCTGTCCGTCCGTCCGTCCGTCCGTCTGTCCATGTATTCTTGTGAACAAAATGCAGGTCGCATTTATTATCCGATTGAGATGAAATTTTCCAAACAATATTTTTTTGGCCCAAGGACGAACCCTATTGAAATTGGTGAGAATCGGATCAAATTTAGATATAGCTCCCATATATATCTTCTTCCGATTTCGGGTTAAATGTGCACCAAATATCCACTATCAGTCCAACTTACCTGAATTTTGGCACACCCAACCGAGTTCGGCCTAGAAGCAAGTATATCAAATTTGGAGAAAATCGGTTCAGATATATAGGTATAGCTCACATATATATCTTTCATCCGATTTGATCTTTAAGTCCCTCACATTCCTACTATGCACTCCACAACCGTGATATTTGGTACCAGGTATTAGATGGAGCACAGAAATAGCTGTTTTAAATTTTATCGAAATCGGTTCAGATTTGGATATAGCTCCCATATATATCTTCATCCGATTTCGGGTTAATTGGCCACCAAATGGCCAATATCAGCCCAAATGGCCCGAATTTTGGCACATGTGACCGAGATAAGCCTTAAAGCAAATACAACAAATTTGGAGAAAATCGGTTCAGAAACAGCTATAGCTCCCATATATATCTTTCATCCGATTTGGTGTTTAAGCCTCTCACATTCGTAATATGCACTCCACAAGAATGATATTTGGTACCAGATATAAGATACAGCCCAAAAATAGCTGTTTTTAATTTTATCGAAATCGGTTCAGATTTGGATATAGCTTCCATATATATCTCCATCCGATTTCGGGTTAATTGTGCACCAAATGGCCGATATAAGTCCAAATGGACTGAATTTTAGTACATCGCACCAAATTCAGCCTAGAAGCAAGTATATCAAATTTAGTGAAAATCGTTTCAGATATAGATATAGCAACCATATATATGTTTCATCCGATTTAGAGTTTTAGTCCCATACATTCGATATTTGGTA